AAGACTAGTGATCCCATTTTTGGTAGTTTTGGAGATTTAACGCTTGTGGAGGGATGAGGAAGGGAATTTTTTTGTGAGGGGAAAATCATCAAATTACTTCTCGCGCCCAGGGCCGGGCGGGAGGGAGTGTCAGACTCTTACTGACTAAAAGCCCCCCTGTTCCTTCTCCTGCTCTGGGCCGAGGTCGCGGTGCCTTATTGCGCAATGGCGCAACCCCGGCTGAACATCAGGCCTATAGCCGTCTATGAGGAAGGGGATGAATTGTCTCCGGTAACCTGTCACACAGCGAAAGACAACGCTACGGTTGTTTCACGCCAGTTTTCTGTGAGGCCGTGGTGTCATTTCAGTCAATCTGACACGTTCGTGCCGAAGCATGGCTCTCTCACGCTTATAGTTTGGTTTATTTTTGCCTATATAATTCGAAACTGACAAGTTCTTTACTTAACATTCTACTCAAATTACATTTTATTTATGTAAACGTAAAATGGTATAAACATTTTCTTCAGAAAATATGGACGGACAAACAATCTCACAAAGATAACAGTCCTTCAAACACTGTTGTCCTAGTACTGCATATGACTAAAGACAGTCTATGAATGGCGGATGTCAAACACGCTGTCCCCAAACATGTCTCGTGGGACATTGCAGACGTTGTTAACGACGACTAACATGGCCTGCTTGGGAATACGTTAACTATCGAAATTGACTCGAGGCTTGTACGTTATGATGGCTTTAAGTGTTGGCGGTATCGACCGACCGCTGTCAGTTTTCTGTTCCCCTGGTACTTGTTATGCAAACATTGCAGCCGAGGCCGTTTAATTGCCGCAATGAATTTATTAACTTATTTTGCTGTTTATATTATTATGTTTTAATTGCTTGTGATATAATGTAGTGAGAGAGAGAGTAAGACAGAGAAGAAATAACGAGAGAGAGAGACAATTGAAATTTATAGTGATTGTAAAGGTATACAGGACCACAGCAAAACCTTCATTTTTAAATTTTAGGTTGTCTTTGTAAACAAATAAATGAAATATTTTATCAATGGATTTCAACATTATTTATTTTACTTAAACACCTATCTAAACTGTTTTGTTTTTGCGCAGGGTCAAAAACCAGATCAAAGAGATATTTTGGGTTGCCAAATAAATGCGGATGGGCGGAATAAATGTTTGGAATATTTTAATTTTGTTCAACAATATTTACTTATCCACAATCAAAGGCAAACGCTGTGGTCTTCGGATTTTATATAAAGACATTTTCAAATGTTTACTAACAGTATCTGTAAGCATGCTAATTTCTACTTTAATTTAAGGTATTTTAGGCACTTTTTACTATGTTTTTGTAAATTCAATAATTAATTATTTTATTCAAATGGCAATTCAAATATACTCGCGTGCCATTCCCGATAATCGTGTGTAGCAGATAGTTCGCACCAACTACACTCGAAATTAAAATCAGCTGTCTGTTACATAGAGATTATCAAGGTATTTAGAAATAGGGTATAAGTATGATAAAGCATTTTTTGCGTGAAAAGGAAACATGTATACACACGTCTCTTTCTAACCGTAATAAACTTTCGCATTTATAATATTAGTAAGATAAAATCCATTACGTATTAAATACCATATCCAACATAGTTCACCTAAAAGCAAAGTTTCTAAATTTAGTTTTAATATTTAAAGTGTAAAACCACATTTAGTTAGTTTCCCCGTCGGTTGTTTTGACTAAATAGCTGTGCGGTTGTATGTTTGGCTTGGTCGTACATTTTTAATTATAACTGACAGCTCTTAACAATGCGATAGAAGAGTATGATATTGTACAAATGGGAATAGCGGACGATAATATTATACAAGATGGATTAAAGTATTGAGTGGTTTATGGATTATCGTTAAGCAATAAAAATATGTCTTTGTGGCCCGGAGGATAAGGAACTCGCTTCTCATGTATGAGGGCGTGGTCCGTGATTACCCCTCGAGTACAGTGAGAGGAAACAAAATGAACACTATATTAGTGTATTTATGGATTATATATTTTTTTAATTATATCATAAAGTGTATTCGTCTCGGTGGCCCGGAGGTTAAGGAGCCCGCTTCTCATGCATGAGGGTGTGGGTATGAAATCTGGCAAGTATCAATGTGACTTTTTCCCAGTTATATGTACTTTCTATGACTATTTAGACACCACTGACATACGGTGAAGGTAAACATCGTGAGGAAATCTGGACTCATAATTTCTAATTATAAGTTTGAAATCGCCAACTCGCATTGAGCAAGCATGGTGATTAATGCTCTAAGCTTCTCCGTATTACAAGAGGCCTTTGCTCAGCAGTGGGCACTTATAGACTGATGATGATGATGATGATGAATAAAAATGCTATATTTTATTATTATTTAATCTGCAATATCTGAGAATACAATTATTATCGTCAGTTGTGGCAATTAGGCAGTGAAAATAAAGTGTCAGTCTATATTACAAAATATCAGAAATATTCTATAATTAATGGACTACAGATAAGTGTGGGAGAATCACGCTTTAGCACAAATGAGCTGTTCGATCTGAATGATATCATGGCCTCACAGAGTTCTGGCGCAAAACAATGCTTAGGTTGTGTTTTGTCTTGTGAGTGAGTTTACTAGAAGTCAAACACCTTCTTCATTTCCAAAAACCTCGAAGCCTCGGGTAGGCTTTATTTAGCTCTGCATACCATGTAAAAAAACAATTTCGTCAGTTCGGTTACATGACTCTGCGAATTTTATTTATAGCGCCATAATCATACTATCAAAATTTATGATAATATTTTAATATCTATCCGATCCTCAATGTTCTATCATTTTCCTATTTATTCTATAGTATACATATATATGTATAATACAGACTTTGTTAGTCAACTAAATTCGCGGTGCCACATGACAGATCATTAATCTTCGCCTAACATCCGGATCTTAATACACAATATAGTTTATCTACTCTTAATGACTGTACAACTAATTTATCAATTAATTGCCAACTGTTTATCTGTGAATCTGGGATTTCTGGTTCATACAACACATTGTGGTTGTACTTTGTTTTGTATCAGCAATTGGCATTAATAGAAACTTTGGGGTAATTAAAATATGTATGTCAAAGTCAAAATCATTTATTCCAAATAAACCATAAGTAGGTAAGTGCCTTGAAACGTCAAAATGGAATAGGAGTCTATTCGTCAGTGAAGCTAGATGCTATGTTGATACTAAGCCATAATAGCATTTTCAAATCATGCGCTCTGTCAGTCAAATTTATTTATTGCAGACATCGTTAACAGTTTTCAATCGGCTTCAACCCGATTGGACGTTTTAAATTCTTAATTAAATACATAGTTATTAAATTTAACGTTTTCACAAACAGGCTTAGAATGTAAGAAATACTTTGCAATAAAATCACTAAATAGCTACAATAAAACTAAAATTCAAAACGACCGAAAGCTTATTTTATCTTCGAGTACATCCACAAGGGGGTAACCGCTAATAAATTCTAACCGAGCAATTCCCAAGACCGCTAACTATAAGACCGATATACCTGTTAACATATTTGCAACTTCTAACACGTAATACAAACTTTAGAACGTGTATCTTCTACTGCAAGTGACTGGGGCAACAGCTGCATCTCACTAAGTAATGGCTTCGTACATGACACCGGTGATAACACCCAACAGAGTACCCACATTGTATTTTTCATGTAGCTTCAAATTGCTTTTCAAGACAGGTAATATTTTACTCCCAATGACTCGGACAAATGATCGCTTACATATTTGGCTTCGAAATAGAATAATGCTTCCCGCTATGAGCCTTATACCTAGCATTTTACTTCATTTAATTTTATTATTCGAAGCTCTTCTAAGTGCGAGGACTTCAATTGGATCCATTTTGAAAATAAAACTGAATTTAGGTTCGCAATCGAATTTCCTTACGAATCTTCTTCTTTCAATTTTGCGAGCCCATCCGAAAAGTGTTCTCAAAAGATTACCATACAAGATACCATTGGGCGCGCACTCGCTCGGTGCTCTTTTGCGAAATTGTTTCATGTCATATTCACCACTTGCCTTCACTTGTGTCTGTACTATGAAACGCTAAAATGTCTCAAGTCTCGTGTAGAGTCTGGAAGTGTCCCTCGACGAAAAAGATCCACGTAAGTGACTTTATTCTTTTGAATGCTTTTCTGTCGAGAATTATGCTACCAAGAGATATTTAAACAATAACACAACTACATTTTAAAGCAATCCACTACCAACTATCTATTAATTCTTTAAGAACAAAACAATTTTACAGTTCAACATATACTAACGAAAGTCGGAGTAGAAAAAAAAATCTATCTGCGATCTTACCAAAACAGAAGCTAAAATAAACGGTCAAAATTGCTTAAGACTCGAAGCAAAGGTTCTTCAAACAGAACCTGAAACTGTAATTAAATTAAAATGAACTTTGGAAGAAGATACCGGTAAACGGGGCTGATATTTTGAGGTTTTTTTGAGGCTAGTTTAAATATAAAAGTTCCTTATTCAGATTCAATAGGAGAAGATCTTAAGTGCTTTCAATGGTAAATTCAATAGCTATTCACGTCGCTACTGAAATAGGTGTCGAGTTCCTGCATTTTGCATAAGGCTCTCAATATTTGGAAGAATCTTCGCTTATAATATGTTGGCGATAAATGCTAAAATACATGAACATTTTATAAAACGTTTTCATAAAAATAAAATAAATATTTATGAAACTCTTCGATTTAGATATACAAGTACAAAACGCTTAGGTAAACTAAAATAATGTACCTTTAGTGATACAGTGGTAAACGAGCACCATACCAAGAGCCATACTTCGGCACGAATGGGTCGGCTCGACCGGAGTCAGAGAGACCACGGCCTCACAGAAAACCGGCGTGAAACAACCACAGCGTTGTGTTTCGCCGTGTGAGTGAGGTTTCAAGAGGCCCAATCCTTCCCCTCCCTCAATCCCTAAATCTCCAAATCCCTAATCCCTAAAACGTCGGCTACGCACTCGGTACTCCTCCGTTGCGGAGTCCATGGGCGGCGCTGATTGCTTACCATTAGGAAATCCGTCTGCTCGTTTTTCGACCTATTACATAAAAAAAAAACCATATGATAGACATCCGCAATACCACCGGAGTTAAGAATGCACTATCGGCTTTTTGGGGATTAGGGTTTCATAGATTTAGGGATTGGAGAGGTATGGGGGAGGGGAACGGTTCGTAGGTACTGCTGTGGTAACCTGACTCACACGGCAAAACAAAACGCTGTAATTATTTCAAGCCGGTTTTATGTGAGGCCGTGGTACCACTGTGATCGAGGCGACTTATCGTGCCGAAGCTTGGCTATCCCATACTTATACATATGGAGTTCCCAACATTTCAACTAATTTTAGTTAAGCTTTTGCTATTATATTTATATATATATAATGAAAGTGAAACGTCAATTTCAAATACCGGAACCCCAAACTGATCGATAAATGAACGTACAACTATCTTCTAAGCCTTAGCCTTAGGAATTGTTACTATGAATAAGGCATCAGAAAATACGAAGTACATACCTCTACGGTATAAAAGCATGTATATTTCCAAATACATGATAGCAAATAATGTTACCAGATTCAGAGGCACGCTCTTAGCTTCAACACTTACATCGTAATATTCTCTCCAAATATCAATATCATACAATATCTACAAACGAAACGTACGAAACATATGGTTCATAGTTCCCTGAACTAAAGCGTGTTTTAGAACAAATCTTCCCCATTCCCGCTGTATCTAAGCTATGTATAAAGCTGCTACATCCTATATAAGTACATTGTCTGCAAGCAGTGCCATATGGTCTCCGAAACTGTATGGTATTAAATCTTATATTATATAAGTCATTTTGGAGAACAGTTGAGTCGGTTTCAATGGTTACATTGAGAAGAATGGTTGCATACTAGGATATATACTTAGATTATTAGAATTAGAAATAAGTAGTATAAATTAATTAGACGGCACGGTTAGAGCGGTATCGTGTGTTCTATTCCCCCTAGCAACAACTCTTTGTGTGATCCCCAAAATTAAATAGTTGTTTCGGGTCTGGGTGCAATATGTATGTCAAATTGTATGTTTGTAAACGCACCTAGACACAGAAGAAAATCGTAAGGCTGGGCAAGGTTTTTTTAAATTCATGTATGTTTTCTAACATGACTATGTGGTTATTAGGATCCATCTTATCGTCTATGTTGTTAATATTTATTTATTAAACTTTGTACGTGAGTAAAATGCAAGATACAATCAAATATTTCGCTTACACACCACCAGTAATTTTGTAACCTCCTTTTTATGGTTGGAAAGAAGAAGGTTATTTAATTACTTCTCTTAAATCACTCGACGACTTCATTAACACTAGAATTCAATTTATTTTTTTATTATAGATACATAAAACATGAAATCGGTAACAACACCCCTATAATAACCTAAATAGAACAAGATGCTGTGAAAAAACTATTCCTCAGAGCGAATAAAATGACCAAATCAATCTTGCACGAATTTCCTCCACTTTTCAAAGTTACTCATCTATCTAGGAAGAACATACGCCACAATATGTACACTGCCATTACTCAGTAAAGAGTCGGTAGTTTTTCACACGAAACTCGCACGAATTCCGATAAGGAAATGCATGTGAATTTGTGGGGCTAAGAGAAAAGCGGTTCGTTTTGTTTCGTATATTGCCACTTATTGGTGTCAAGTGTGTCTCTTGAGTATGACGGCATGAGATCGCAGGAAAAATATTATTAGACGTTTCGATTTCAATTTTTCCTGGTGGCTCGGAAACATCTCTTCTCTTCTTTGATGTTAATAAATTATTTTTATGAGTATTTCTTTAAAAAGCGGATTAGTTATTTGTCTTATCCAAATTCGAACTATAATTTTATAAATGCGAAAGTAACTCTGTCTGTCTGTCTTTTCTTCACGCCTGAACTACTGAACCTTTTTGTGTGAAATGTGGTACAGACATAGTTTGGTACTTGAGAAAGAACATGGGATAGTTTTTTAAGCTGCAGGAAGACCATATCACGCAAACAAAGTCGCAGCTAAAAGATAGTCTTAGATATTGCTAAGAAAATGACACTGACTTCTTTCAGCAGAGCACTAAATAAAGAAAGAAAGAAAGAAAATAAATTTATTTTGCCACAGTGTAGGGCACACGAAAATCACAAACATAAAGCAAAAAATAGAAGATTCAAAAAATAAAAAAAAAACCAATAAAAAATAGAATAAAAAGAAACAAAAAGGTACCTAAAATAACCAAAAATTAATAAAAAAATAAAGTGTGGTGTGCCTCACAGCTGCGTCAAAAAAGGTTCAGTTCAGCATGTATGCATTAGATAATTGAAGTATTTTGCACCACCATATCCAGCTGCCGCTGTGCATCGATTAGGTACTGTCGTAACCGCCTTCTGAATGAGCCTAACGTGTTTATCACTCTGATTAGAAGATTGAAATAGGTGCTGCCTCGCGAGTATGTAAGTAAGTAATATTATGAAACAAAATGTATACCATCATATTCAAATATTAACTTACACCAATTAATATAAAAGTAAAAGCAAAAGAAAACACCTTAAAACTACATTGAAAACCAAAGCAACTAAAATTTCATTCAACTTTGAAAAGCCATTCTTTGAACAAAAAGAAAAAGCGAATTCTTATCCAACTATATGCCTCAGAAACGGTTTTAATTCAACGCAGATTAGCACTATAACAAATTAACATTTCCACTTTTATGTTAGATATTTATGTTAGATGTTGGCAACAAATTTGTGGTTTTAATAGCCTCGGAGTAGCGAGTACATTGCTATTCTGAGCCACGCGCGAACCGAAGAAAGGTTTTCGTTACGAAGTGAAATGCGAACAGAATAGAATCGGTCTATTATATATTTTAGCTTAGAATTGTCGCGAGCATAATGTTGTGGTTTTACAATAAAATTGTGTAATGCTATTATGGAGTCCCAGCATCCATTTTAACGACTGCTTTGTTAAGGATCCTGTTTTATTACCTAGTAACTATTCTATTACTGTTATTGTATTGTTTTTTTTTATTTAAATTGATTAATGTTGTTCGGATGCAATACAATTCGCCAGCCTATAAACACCCACTCATGAGCAAAGGCTTCTTCAAATACGGAGAAAATTTGAGTATCAATCAGCACGCTTGCTTAAGGTGGATGAGCGATTTTAAACTTTAAAAAATCTAGCTTTACTCACCACGTTTTTCTTCACTGTATTTTCAAACGTCATTATGTTTTAAATGTTCTTAGAAAGAACATACATTATTATGTACAACTTACAGAAAAAGCCACATCGTTACTAGAGGGTTTCAGGAGCGGATCCTCAGGCATAATAAGACTTTGCTTTTACCTCCCACCACGGCGATATCACAATTGAATACGACAGTACAATCCAACCTTTTAAGCTGTAAAGCACACCTGCTCAGTGGAGAGAGAATGGCAAACCCATGTGTATAAAAAAAGGCCTTTATTTTCTTGCTACACACAATAAACGGTTGGCGCGGTGGCTGGACAACTGGTTGCCGCGCAACGTTAGATTCCCGCACGGAACAACTCTTTGTGTGATCCATAGATTGTTGTTCCGGGTCTGGGTGTGATGTGCATGTGAAATTGTATGTTTGTAAACGCACCCACAACACAGGAGAAAATCCTAAAGTGGGGCAACTTATAATTAAGAAAAAAATAAAAATTATAAAATGAAAACAGTTAAGAGGTTTTTGTTTTTCTTTCTTTTTTCTGCAAGAACCCCTCTCATCAGAAGATGTAGGCCTCCTCCAGGGACAACCAGTACTGTCTTCTGCTACTCACATCCTGTGGGCATCTACCACTTTTGTGAGCCCTTGTGTATAAAAGGCTCAAAGTTTTGAAGCGAAATGTGAACTAGTTCTAAAAACAACAAATAGGTTCATTTACCTAATAATATATCATTAACTTATTATAAGTTTATCCATAGGTAAAACAATACACAAGAGATGAACACAACCAATTATCCCCCTATAATAAATGTGAGACACAAAAGATAATCTCACAAACAGATATTTTGTCCTAACAAATAAATATTATTCCTTTATCAAAAGATCAAAGGTAGACCTTTCTTTCTTTATCTTTTATATAACTGTTTACTTATTTATTATGTTTTGGTGATCAATTTACGAATAGTTTTCAAAAGGATTGGTCGTGTATTGTCAATTGTTTTGTTTTTGGCTCTTGGATAGGGTTGAGTTAGTTATGTTCACGTGACATGTTCATTTCAAATAAATTTAGGTCATAAATCGGAATTGAAATAGGTTTTAGGTTTTCCTAATCGAAATTCACCCATAGTTTTATTACGTAGTCGACTTTCAAAATTAACCTCTGAGTTTTTTTCGGCAGTTTTCTTCTCAGAGTATACAGATAGGAAAATCCGGCTTCATCTAGTTTTTGTACATATAATTTTGACGTGTAAAAGCGCTGTTTTATGGTCTATTTGCAAAAATAAATTCATTCGAAATCGACTTTGAAAATGAAGTTTTATGTGTGTACAAACAATGCCTATTTCTACCAAGAACATTTTGTATGTTACCAAGTACATTCGGAAGTTTTTTTGGGGATGAATATCATCAAATGCATTCTCCCGACTTGGCTGAGGTGACAGGGAGTGTTCAGCTCTTACTGAATAAAAACTACTCCGTTTTTTCTCCTGCTCCGGGCTAGGGGTGTGTTCCATTATTGCGCTAGTAGCTGCAAGCCTGGCTAAACATCGGCCCTAATAACCTTATTTAAAATACTTATTATAATACACAAAACGAATCGTAATCGTGTTTGTATCAGTATCAAGCTAATATAAGTGGTATAAGACCGTAAATAACCAATTTTCTATGCTAGATAGAAAACAAAACTTAATTGGGAACAAACTTCTCAGTTTATGCTAAAAGCAGCAGGATTAAACGTTTCCTAAATTGGTTTAACTCGGCCATGTGTGCTTCTTTAGTACAATTTGCAAATAACAGAAGTCTTCTTTAAGTCTCTGAAGATACAAATAATAGAGTTTTTGT